CATGCTAAAAAAACAGGATTCACGGGATATAGACATTTGCTGTTAGGCCCGTGGTTTCTTGTTAGGCCAATTCAGCGTATACAGTAAGATGAGCTAAGTCTTTTTTTATTATGAAAAACACTTTACATTACTTTTTTCCATTTATTTTTACAATTATCATTTATTATCTTTTATGAATATATCTGGTTCTATATATTGCTCATTTTCCATAAAAGAAAAAACATGTATTTGAGTTTGTGTTTTATTTGAGTTTGATGTATACAAAGACTGTACTGTATGATGATTCTTAAAAATGCACTTTTACCATAAAAGGCAAGCTCCACCAGTTGGTAGAGGCTCATAAAAACAAAACTGTCAGTCAAAAAAAAAAATTGTTGTGGCTATGTGTGGCCCATTTGATACAAAAATGCAAACAAATAATTTTTCCATAACTTTTTTCTTGGTCTGGCAGTTAAAGCCCGACACACACACACACACACACACACACACACACACACACACACACACACACACACACACACACACACACACACACACACACACACACACACACACACACACAATGTTCGTATTTAGTCTCCTGATTTTAAATGGGAATCAACTCATTTGAGTGTTCCCAAAGCCGCAGTGTGGGCCTACTGTGTACTGCTAACCACACTGAAGATTATGGAGGTATTGATCAGTCTTCTCATATTTTTAAGCCTCAATTTGCCCCCCCCCCCCTCTAACATCACCAGAAGTCATCATTTAAGGGGTCATTTCTCAAAATGTTGTTCCGGGAGAGCATCCCCCCGGACCCCCTAGTATGCTTTGGTCACGATTGCCATGGCCCCACCTAAAATATTTTCCACCGGCCGCCACTGACTGTTAGCATTGTTAGCCGCTAGCGGTCGGCTAAGCTGTCGCCATGTTGAAGGTTCTATGAAGGTAATCCCTCTGTTCTGAATATTTCATTGACAAAGGTTTTTAGGAAATCATAGGTGACTTGGTTATGTGTTATTATCTCCAGGTATGTCACTATCTTCTATGCGCTGAGATACCACAACATCATGACAGTGAGGAGAGCCGGCTGCATCATCGGGGGAATCTGGACCTTCTGCACGGGCTGCGGGATCGTCTTCATCATCTACTCAGACACAACCCCGGTCATCATCTGCCTGGTCTCCATGTTCTTTGCTATGCTGCTCATCATGGCCTCCCTCTACAGCCACATGTTCATGTTGGCGCGTTCTCATGTCAAACGCATCGCCGCGCTCCCCGGCTACAACTCCATCCACCAGCGGGCCAGCATGAAGGGGGCCATCACGCTCACCATCCTGCTGGGGATCTTCATCGTCTGCTGGGCTCCCTTCTTCCTCCACCTGATCCTGATGATCTCATGTCCGCGGAACCTCTACTGTGTGTGCTTCATGTCCCACTTCAACATGTACCTCATCCTCATCATGTGCAACTCTGTGATTGACCCACTGATCTATGCCTTCAGGAGTCAGGAGATGAGGAAGACTTTTAAAGAGATTATCTGTTGTTACAGCCTGAAGAACGCCTTCACCAACATCTGCGCTCTAACAGGTAAGTACTGAGGGACACAGACTATGAAACCAATGACAGGATTTGTAGGATGAACTACTGAATCTGACACTGGAGCATAACCATACGAGAGTATCAAACATACACTTTGTGAAATGGTTCATTGCACTTCTCAGCAAGTACAGTCTTTGGTCAAGACTGTGTCTTCTCTCAGGAATTACTTGGAGAGGGGTCCCTCACAGTATGTAAGAAGGTTACCCTACTTTCTAATGTATCCTCCATGTATACAAAGTGGCTAGCTGACATTACAGTATTTGAACAGACGGACAGGACCATTTGAAACGATGATTATTTTTAAACTGCATTATAGAAAAACAGTTTGTGTCCTGCCTTTCATTTTAGAGGAAATGCACTGTTCTTTATACTTTTGCTTTTTCCTTTTGAAAAGAAGAAAATTACAAGCTAAGACAGGATATCGTCATGTTCATTACTAAAACAAGTGAACCCTACCGTAAATGCTGTTTTTGTATTCATTGTGGGAATTAAGTTTAGCAGGGAATACACAATAGTTAGTTGCCTCAGGTGATGTCGCCTTAGTCAGCGTAAGCTGAGGCTGAATAATTCCGCCCATAATTAATTTGAGTTGGAGGAATCTGGCAGGAGGTGATTTCCGCGTTTCCGTTACGGCCTCGTGTGAAGGGCTATACGAAAGAGAAAAGTAGCAGATACAACCGTTTGCGTTCTCGTGTAAACTGCACATAAATGGGGAAAGTAAGCTGCTGCTTAACCTTCGGATGTTATCACCTGTCAACAGATAATTTGCTGACACTACATTTGTCCTGCCTCCACCTGCTGCAGCATAAACTCTGAGCTAATGACCAACTTCCTTAAATGCTAACGCTCATTAGCATAGACGTTTTCTGCTATGATTATTTTGACACTCTTCTGTATATATCTTATTTATAGCTGCTATATTTTGTGTGCCGCCCATGATCTCTTCATGACACAGCCCTGCCAGTGCTTGTATAAAATAATGCAAAATGCCATAAGTTTACACTTTAAATGTAAAATTGATTGTAGCTTCAAAGTGCGTTCTGTAAGTGTTTGTAAGTCGCTCCTACATCCCAACTTAGAAGCTAAACAGACCTTTGTTATAAAATGCAACCTTCTGAAACTGCTGTTCATGACTAAAGTTATCCCTTGTTGGTGCTAGAAGCTAAACATTTATTTCTAGTGTTACATTGTAATATGTATTTCAAAAAGAGCAAGCCTCTATTAGTTGTGTCTTTGATTTATCTGTGGCATATCTTATGCATAAAGACTCTGGGACAAGAGATGTTTTTGGATCAAAATCATGTTGTAATGGCCTTACTGTATTCCCCATAAATTTTCTTTGTAAGTGATTTGTATTTGTGAGATCAAAAGAAGAGCATATGAATATGCAAACAAATGTACATGCCCACAATGTAAAGTACTTTTATTAAAACCCAATGATATCATTGTTATTATTTATTGGGAAGTACTTAGTTGTCCCGAAAGAAACAGCAGCAAAAACACTGAATGTAATGTTACACTAGAGGGGAAGCCCACTTAGTAATTGCATGATCAGTCCTATGTTATTGTAAAGTGAGCCCATATAACAGTTACATGTGTCATGTAAGTTATGGTAAATTCATGGCATGCAAAAATATAAATTTGAACTGCAAGAGAAATGACTGATGTCAGTGTTGGCGATGTTGCACAAAAGTATGTATTTTATTAATTTGAGTGTGAATAAAAGCAAAAGGCAAAGTTCTGAGCTGTCTTCATATAATTGTTTGCATCAACTGTGGTAAATTGTGAATGATGGAAACCTCAAGATTATGATCTATGTGAACAAATTATAACATGATCTTGGTTTAAAATGCAAGTACATCCGTGTCCTGAGAGAAAACGAGTGGGGTAGTAGATAATCAGCAAGGCAGAGAGAAGATAGATGGTATGGAATTTAAAAAATCATACACAGAAACACTCAGACACTCAACAAATAGATTGAAAGTCACATGTGCACATTTAAACACAAAATTAATAAAAGGTCCGTAGCCTTGAACTACCTTTATTTGAGAACCAGGTGTAAAAGTTTGGCCCACTGCGAACCTGCTGTTCCCATTCTCAGTGGCAGTACAGATCTGTTTATTGTTAATGTATGTAGTCTACCTACATTTAGCTGTATCCTGCTTGTAGTTTAATTGCTATAAAATACAATTGCAACATTACATGATGGTCTATGGGAAGGAACTGGTTATCAGCTGTGCAGCATTTAATTGTTTTACCAAAAAGACCAGAGAGGCTGGCATCACTTTACACACAGTATAGAGCAGCGATTCTCACATTTTTGTCAATAATGTACCCCATTTGAAAAAAAAATTCAGCCAAGTACCCCTTGATCAGTGCAAAAACTATTTGTTAGGGGGAAAAGCCTATATAAAGAGGTACAGTACAGCCTTGCACCCTCAGTGTCTGATTTATTAAAACAACAACATTATAACTGAGAAACACTTAAATGCTACATTTCAAATGTTTATAATCCATCACTAGGGCCAACCAATTTTAATATCATGCAATAACAATAAGACGACATTAGTTGCATTGAACTGATCTTTTTAATAAGTTGTACTTACAATGTAGTGAGAAACATGGGCTTGTGCTTCACTGAGGATCATTGTCATTCTGACAGGGAGGCTGTGGTGTTTTAAAAAACACTTCATATAATTTGTAAGGTTAAAATACTGCTTTGCAGCACCTTTCAGGTAGCTTGTAACGTTTGTTTATTTGACACTGTCCATAAAGTTATTTGAATGTATCACTTCCTGTCAATATTGCATACCTTCCTGTCATGTTAGAAAATGGTAGAAACTCAAGGAAGCCACATGTTTAGGCACCGTTAGGATCTATTTGCATCTGCATGAAAAGACCAATCAATCAATGTCGTAAGTGATTACATTTCATTGTTAACATGTAGAAGTTCCCATTTCAATGCTTATTTGATGGAAAGATGTTTAAGAAATTAAGAAAAATGTAATGTTATATTGTATACATTTACAATGCAACTAAGGGTGTTTGAATAGACAACACAAGACTAAGATCGTTTTGCATTCTGTATTTATTGTTACAGTTTTCACTCCATGTCATGTTGAAGGAGTTACCAGTAAAGTTTCCCAACTACGACGAAGACTCTTTTTCTTCATTTTGAGTGGAGTTTAACTTCGTGTTAAGTCTGCGGCTCTTACGTCCGGATAAGAACATTATAGAGGCACCTGCAGTTATTACACTTCGTGTTTTGAAATATGTGTAACTCTAGTCTATTAATATAAAACCCACACTGCTCAAACGTCATTACTTTTCTTAAAATTGGTATATTTATCTTTTTTTTTCATTTACATAACATAAATCTCACGTACCCCCTGCAGTACACCAACGTACCCATAGGGGTCCGCGTACCCCATTTGAGAACCACTGGTATTTTTACGACCCTGGTCGTTATG